ATAATAATACAAAATTATAATTATAATTTTGTACATGCAGAGGCAGAAAGACTTTCTAGCCATTTGGAATGGCTACTTATTACCCATCTTAAAAAGTGTTCTTTCTCTCCAAGGTGGGCCTCAGACCATCTTGTTCAATTTTTTTAGAGCAAGCTGCAAAACAGGATCTGATTAGGTTTTGTATTTATCTCCTAGTATGGAACAGAACTAAGAATTTGTTCCCCAATTTTCCTCACCTGTTGTAGAGATCAAAATTTGGTTTTCTAGGAATCAGCACTGATTAGGGACACTATGGCTCAATACGGAACGGGTACACATGAGAGAGATACAAGGACATGCTTGCCTATACTTGCTCCCACTATATCTGTTCCCACTTCCTCTGTGTCTAAGTAACCCATCTTAACTGAGGTGAACTGAGGGGGGCTTCTTGGTGCCACCAGGAATGTTGACCTCTTCAAAAGTGCCCTGTAACAGAGGAAAGTCTGCCAAGGCATCCTGAGCGACACATATTAAAGGTTGGGGATTGTGCCAGTACAAAAATCTCTGTGTTCCTTCCATACACTAATATTCAGAAAAGCAGCCATTCACCCTTATATCAGCAGCTGTGAGCCTAAATTTGGTGACTATCCTAATGCAGATATCAGGCTGTGTTGAATTACTGTACGTTATGGTTATTTGTTTGTTTTACTGACTGGCAGGGTATATATTCAACACTTCCAGGCAGGCTGAATTGCTAAAATCCAGATGTAAATGCATTGGAGGCTATATATTTTCATGCATGTTTTTTCGGTCATGTGTCTGTCTTCTTGGTCCAACTGATGGTGCATTGACAGTAACATTAGCCATTTGACTTTTTCTGACGCTTGCATACGGAGGTGACCAGAACCTCCCTGTGTAAACAGAAAGGGCTCTGTGTTTGCCTAAGGACAATACATGTGCATATAGAAGATCTCATACTATTGCACCAGTGCAGAACATTGTATCCCATTGTGCTGTACTGAACAGCATCCTTGACAGTGGAAAAAATTATTAAAATACATACTTTGACATGCAGATGCAAATTAATGCAGCAGGAAGACAAAGTGGAATTACAGGTAGAAAGGTGCAAAAGTGAGAGGAGCCGGGCATTATATAGGTGTGTCCATCCTTACATAGGAACTATGTAAGCTTTAGCTACAGATTCAAGTTGTGAAGTGTTGGACCAGCAGAGCTAAGTAATCTGTATTAGTGCTACCTTGATGTTCCAAAAAGAATGAGAACTGCTAAGAAACTTGCATCTGCCCCACCCATCACCTCTTCCTGTGAACTGGAGAGAAGACATGAAATCATCCTGTGGGATTGGAAATGATTTCCTGAACAGGATTTTTTTTCCAGCCATCTTTAGCTCATACTTGGCATTCCAGTGTAGACTGACGACATTACTGTGATCATGTCAACATGCCAAGCTTGGGCTGAGCGGGGCCTAGATTACTCATGGGGCTGCCACTGCCATGGAAGTAGGAGGAACGACACACTACCCCATAGTCTTTGGCTCAGACTACTGAAACTCTTGGCATATGTCTAAAACAAAAAGGAACCACTTTGTTGAGTTTCATAACCCCACTCCTGACAAAAGGACTGCAGCTCAAATTAAGTTCAGTCATTTATCTGGAAAAGAAAGAAAGCCTGCATCACTACCTTGTTGGCATCATCAGCAGCGTTCTTGTCTTTTTTTTTTCCTTTTGGTTTTCTTTTTAAATTTATTATCTCTAGCGTTCACTTTTGTTGTAAATTAAAATGCATTGTTAATTTTATCATGATGAGGTAATTATTGTGTATTGATTGCATTTGAGCTTCATTTGCTTAATGTTTCATATAAGGTTGATTAGGTCTTTCCTGTGATTCTTCTCAGGAGGAGAGGAGGGAGGAGGGTGGCAAAACAGATGGGGAGCAGATGCTCCACTTCGTTGGAAACCATTGCTGGAAGTGGACTGGAACATGGCAGTTGATGTTCCCTGGGGAGCTCTCCCATGGCAGCAGATTTGGAAATGACAAATGAGAAAAGCAATATATGAGGTTATGAGCGCAAACTGATATTTTAAGGAAAAGAGCAAAGGCACTTATTTATTTTTTTAAAAAATCAACTTAATGTAGTAAAATCAAGTTGATGCATGGCAGAGAACTTGAAAGGCAGAGCTGAGCTGCTCATGCAAAAAGATGAGGTGACAAAATTAGAGAGTGCAGAACAGTATCTGTCCGTCCATCTGTCCGTCCATCTATATCTGTCTGTCTGTCTGTCAGTCAGTCAGTCAATCAATCAATAAATCAATCAATCAATCAATCAATCAATCAATCAATCAATCAATCAGGCACATTGGACCACCTGGATTCCAAATCTGTCTCAAGAACAACTGATCTCTCCTTTTCAGCTAAGACCAATCAATCAATCAATCATATGGTCCAGTATCTAACTCTATTCTCAGCCCTTTCTTCCTGCTGAAATAGATGGATCTGAAGAAGGGAGCCTCTTGTTTCCATTAAGGCAGTCCATGTGGGGAAGAATGTAGGGTTCTTACTCACAGGGGAGCCATCAGATGAATAGGAACCTCTCCCCTTCTAACTTAACTTTTAATAGCTATAAAGGAAGACAAGCTGGTTGGTTTGTTCTTCCTGGGATGTATGTTTAAGGGAGGGGATGTGGTGTCACTGTGGGTTAAACAGCAGAAGCCTCTGTGCTGCAAAGTCAGAGGACCAGCAGTCGTAAGATGGAATCCACACGACGGAGTGAGCTCCCGTCGCTTGTCCCAGCTCCTGCCAACCTAGCAGTTCAAAAGCATGCAAATGCAAGTAGATAAATAGGTACCACCATGGTGGGAAGGTAACAGTGTTCCGTGTCTAGTTCTGCTGGCCACGTGACCATGGAAACTGTCTATGGATAAACACTGGCTCTACGGCTTGGAAATGGGGATGAGCACTGCGCCCTAGAGTCGGACATGACTGGACTAAATGTCAAGGGAAACCTTTACCTACTGTATGTTTAAGGGATGGGCCAACCTTACACTGCTTTAGTTCCAAATGAAGCTGTAGGTTTCTATTAGGAGAAAACTCTGCAATATTTTTATGTGAATATTACTATTCCTGTAATGTGGGTTTCAGTGTCAGCCTCCCCTAGAAATCTAAAGGTGTAAGAAGAGATTGATTTTGTGCCATAACCTTTTGAAAATGGAAACTTAAGGGATGTTAAGGTGAAAATGTTTCCAAAAATGGTCATGTATAGAACTGAAATCTGGATATTTCAAATACACACAGAAATGTTTCATTGGACCTAGATTTGAGTGTGGCACTTTGTGTCTGTGAATCATCGATTTCATTAGCATCAGCTTTTAAAGTAAGGCTTAAGCTAGCCTTGTGCTCAGGAAATAAAAATGAGACTGGTTGCTAATCACAAGAACTCTTTATCAATCCCACCTTTTCTTGTGATGAAAAATTACTAACAGATGTTGTGTATATCATAAGAGTATCCGTTCCATGCAGTCTGATCAAGTGCTGTGCTACTAATCTAAATCTTTTGTTGTGTGGGCTTATCTATAGAATGGTGTGGACTAATCCCCTTTTCTGTGGAGAAGCCAAGCTTCTTAAGCCAAAGATTTCCTAGAAGTGAACGTCATTACCTGTATCTGATTAATATGGTTAGATAAGAAAAATGTACACAGCTGTTGTTAAATATGGCATTTCATTAGAAGCGTCGCCTTCCTTAAAGGTACAATGCAGGTTTAAGCAGTGTTAATGTCAAGCAGTGTTTTAACTATTTGTGTCCTATTCCTACATATTTTGATCAACTCACGTCATTCTTGTATACTAATAGGTAATGTATACTCTCAACCTGGTGTGGTTTAGTTTTCTGCAAAATCAGCTATTTTTTCCCCAAGCAAGTTCCTGTTTAAAACTTAAAAATACATACAGAAAGTAATTTTCAGCCCTCCTTACTTCAGTGAAAGCTCTACTGAACACAGTAGGACTTGTTCCTGTGTAAAAGTGTCTGCTACTGTACTATTTTTGTGTTGAAATGTTCTTAATGCATTATATTCTTCTATCCCATCATCAAATAGCTTAATGCATGTGTGTGTGTGTCCCCCCCCCCCCCCTTTGTGTTGAAATGTTCTTAATGTATTATATTCTTCTATCCCATCACCAAATAGCTTAATGCATGTGTATGTGTGTGTCCCCCCCCCCCACTCTTCTCGTTGGTACAGAAGTCTTAAATGGAGGAGTCTACGTTGGTCAGAACAAATTTCTCTGCTATGCAGATACTATTCAGTGGGAAGATATCGTTCGCAATCCATTGGCTTCCAACTTCTCTGTACTTCCAAAAGATAGCAGTACAGATTGTAAGTATTGGCTTTTGGGGTGGGGTTCATTCTGTGATTTTGTTGCCCCATTGGCTGAAATCCTGCTCTGCAGTTATGTAAAAAGTGTAACATTTAGTGGCAAATTGTCACAGTTAAAAAAAACACTCTAGGCATTACCTGTTACATGCTGAGTTGCGCAACTAAGTATTAAACTGATAATGCCTTTGGGGATTCTTAATGGCAATTTGGTGCTACAATTTACGGCTTTTGCGTAAATGTGCAACAGGATTTGGCCACTGATTCAGATCAAAATGTACACTTTCTCCTGCATATTCTGTTACAGGAACATTTGTGTTAAGTATTGTACTTCTGTAACATTCTTACATTAAGCTTCATTGTGATTTAGCTAATCCAAATATCTGTCTCTGCTTCTAGGCTCATTTTACTTTACTTTATTTTCCTTGAATACTCACTTCCCTGCAAATTGTCCAAGACAAATTTCATCCTGAAAAAATCATGAAATGAAACACATAGAAGATTTACCACTGATTATAAGTTTAGTTTAAAGGTCTGTCTCAGGTCTGGAGTTCAGAGTATAATCCTTTGCATATGCCCAATCCTGTTTGCTGGAGAGCATTAGAACGGCATACAGTGATGCTCCTCCACTGGATCACAAACTACTTAACAGTGATTGAGAAAGTCACAGGAACCTATTTCTTTAATTTTGTTCTCAAGCTCAAGAAGTAAGGATGATATCCCTGGGCATTTTTTAAAAAAGATGTGTTTGTTTGATTTGTAAAGTGCCCCATTAAAGCTGGGCACTATTCTGGGAAGTTAAAAAAATGATGCAATGGAAAAAACAACTCAGACACAGAAGACAACAATAAAATCTTAAAATAACAAAAACAAAAAAAATCAGAACAGACTAATTAATCTGGAAGCAGATTGTGATAAAAAGCCATGTCTTTCAGGAACAGTGGGTCTAGGCAACCCTTTTTGGGGTTGGTAAGCTGATCTACCACTCCCAGCTCACTTTCTGCCAGTGTATGGATGGTTGGAAGCAATTGAGCTCACTGGCTCTGTGCCTGTCAGCTAGATGGGCTCACCGAGCAGGCCTGAGCACAACCACTCTCATTTGATTTCAGAAGAAAAACAGGGTTCAGGCTGGTGATTGTTTAGATGGGAGAACACCATAGATTGCTAGAGATCTACAGGTAGACTCAAGGAAAGCATTCTGCCTGATACTGTGGGCAGCTGATGCCAGTCACCATTCACTATACTAATCTAAGTGGATCAATGGTATAAAGCAGTGTAAGACAGTCTCCTTATGTGAACCACCCATACAAAGCTTGCTCTTCCCTGCCTGTGGTATGGCCCATTTTAGATCTTTCTTCCTGCCATCTCTGGCAGTAGAAAGAGCAGTAGCAGTAACAACATTTGGTCAGCCTCTGCCTTGGAGGAACTGCCCTGGTCACTGGCAGAGGTCCTCTGTACCAGCAGAAAGCAGCAGAAAGATATCATTGCCTGCCATTCTAATATTCCCTGGCAATCATCACCGGGTGAATGTGAAGGATTAGGCAATTAAATGGCAATCATCACTGGGTGAATGTGAAGGATTAGGCAATTAAATATAGGCATTAAAAGTACATAGCCTAAATAAAAGCAGGGATGAAGCTATATCATACCAGTTTTGCACATTTTTATTTAGAGGTCCATCCCCCCCCCCCCCAAATAAAGGGCTAGCAACAACTTATCTAGGGTATTGTTTTTAGTTTAGTGTTGCTTTTTTGAAAGGGGGAGGCAGAAATAGAAGAAGCCCAAAGTTTTTTTAAAAAGAGTCTAGACATAAACTTCAATGCAAGATTGTCTTTATCATTTTAAACCGCATAAGGTAAAGGTAAAGGTTCCCCTTGACAATTTTTGTCCAGTCGTGTTCGACTCTAGGGGGCAGTGCTCATCCCCGTTTCCAAGCCATAGAGCCAGTGTTTTGTCCAAAGACAATCTTCTGTGGTCACATGGCCAGTGTGACTTAGACATGGAACGCCGTTACCTTCCCACCAAGGTGGTCCCTATTGATCTACTCGCATTTGCATGCTTTCGAACTGCTAGGTTGGCGGGAGCTGGGACAAGCGACGGGAGCTCACTCCCTCACGTGGATTCGATCTTATGACTGTTTGGTCTTCTGACCCTGCAACACAGGCTTCTGTGGTTTAGCCTGCAGCGCCACCATATTTACCTTCAAAAGATATTTCAGAGGATTGAGGATTGCCCCAGAGCAGAGATTTGGTGGTGGTGGAGAAGAAAGAAAGATAAGAATGCCTTTGCATGAATCATTCTGTTCCCCCATGCTCAGGTGCTCACCAAGACCGCTCAGGGGGACTCCCTTTGATGTGGATCTCCCCCAAGCCAGCCTCTTCCCCTGACCTCATTATCTGGTCCTGCCCACTCTCAGCATATCTGCAGATATTTTTCCTTTCCCCCATGCCAAGTTTTATGTCTCGTGATTAATACAGAAAGTTGCTTCCTGTGCCCCAACCATATGACAGGACAGGACATGTGATGGGAACTGCCCCACTCAGCTTCCCAAGAGAAAATGGCCTTGATGGGAGGGAATCTTCTTGTTCCCTCAGCAACCAGAGGTCACAGAGGGACAACCCCCTCATTCACTTGTCTGATTGGGAGGGTATCAGCAACCAGAAGTCACAATCCCCTCATTCACTTGTCTGATTGGGAGGGTGAGCAGCATGAGATAGCATCCTAAGGCAACCTCCAAATCAGTCATTAAAGATTACAAAAGCACAGAGAGGGAGAGAGAGAGGGTCCACCTTCTCCCTTTTGGTAAATGAGAAGGTGCATTGCACTAGGAGAAAATCACACACACCCTGCCCCATGTGTCTTTGTTCAGGTGGTTCTCATTGTAGGAATTGGTCTTTTCTTTTTTCTTGCACCTGTAAGCCTATTTACAGTTGCTGCTTTTGCAGTCACAGCCTGGATGCTTTGCTTAAAAGCAGGCTGTTCTCCATTCACCACAGGAAGCTCCATGATATGGCTGAATCAGAACAACAAAGGAATTGAGACTTCTGAAGTTGCAATAGGATATACATTTTTCTAAACATTATCAAAAGTCTATTTAGAGTCTACGTGCACGTTTTAAAATGCTAGCCATCAGTTAGCTGTAGACCAAGTGAAAAAGCAAGGAAGAAGAAAGCAGGTATGTACAATCACTCAAAGAAAGAGCTGTACATGTCAAGAGTTTGGGGAAAAGCCAGAGGTCGCTCTCTAACATCATGAAACAGTTTAACAGAAGGTCAACTCGTGAAGGTTTAGGATGGGAAAGAGAGAACAGACATACCATGTTGCTGCTTTTGGAGGACATCCTCGGTGCCTCATCTGGTTAATTCAGTCAGGAGCCAACTTAAACAAACAAGATTATGTTGGTGAAACTCCTGTTCACAGAGCAGAACGTACAAACATTTGAAGCTGTACTCCAGTTGCAAATGTGATGCTTCTGTTGACTACCTGTTCAAACATCCATGTGCAGCTGCTATCCATGTAGATCACTTCAGAGTTGCAGGAGTTCAGTCATGCTTGATTGTTGAGGAAAGAACTGACAGGGAGACCAAAACTGCAGATCGATCAGGATGAAACACCAGTTTAGTTAAATATACAAGCAACCTTCATTTGGAACACATTGCTTGTCTTGAACTTTCAAGACAGTCGAAATTTAACTTTTAAGTGAACGTTTTTCATTAAAAACATATCTCTGCCTACCTGCCTGCCTGCCTTAGCTTGGGCAAAGGTCAGGTTTTGTTGTATCCTCTGGAAAATACTTTTGCCCCAGAATGCAATGTTTTAAAATGGAGGTATGATGGGGCATTAATGGAGATGGGAGGAGTTTTGTGGGTGGCTTATCCTTTATTTTTAAATTTAATTTAATTTAATTTTTGAAATTACAATTCCCAAAATACCGCAGGCAGCCTGTATGGTGATGCTGGCTGGCTGGGTCACTCTGGGAATTGCAGTCTAAAACAGAAACTTTGCTATCTGTAAGCATTCGTGGCTGAATTGCAACAGGTCATTAGGTCCTCACTGAAATCTTGCTTCTGTCTCTTGAATTGACCAGGCAACCTAAGACAACCCACTTTATCTCAGCCCCATGTCTCCAATATAATAAAAAATATTGATCTGGGAATACATAACGCTGTTGCTAGGATTACACAACAGTGTGTGGGATGTGAGTTTTGCCACTCTGAACTTAATATATAAATTATGAATGCTGACTGTTTTTATTTTCCTCTTCCTCTGCTGACCTCCAGCTCTAAAATATCAGCTACACAAGACATATCAGAACGAAGGTGCAGTAAGCATGTGTTTTTGTCAAAAAGGCATGGAGGATTGGGGGAAGAGAAAGAGGCAATGCCACACCATGTGAAACAATCTAATTTGTTATTATAGTCAGCTAATGAGCATATTGGATTTTCGAAAGCTTCTGCATGGTTTAGTGACACACATCTCATTGGAAATCAATGGAACATGTGATCTCCCTAACTTACTTTCAGCATTTTCTGATAATCTTACCCTCAGAGCTTGGCATCCCAATTTAAGCTCCTCCTGGTTACTCAGATCAATGATTAATGTTGAGACATCTCTATCAGAGTGAACAGGCTGAACCTCTAGGATACAGTCACCAGTCATTCCCTCAAGATTCCTGAATTTGTCTGTTCAGATATTCCCTTTGGGGTTAGATAAATACATGAGGGGCTGAGACCTGCTCTTCTGGCATTGTTTTGTTTACGTTCATGTGAGAAACTTGGCAATCCCTCTCAGCTTTGCAGATGAAACCAAGTGCTAGAAAATTAGGTTTCAGAACTACATAGAGAGCCTCCCTATAGATAGGAGGAGGCACTGTTTTCCGCACTTACTGCTTTTCACAAGAGTAAAGTGAGGATGGGAAGACAAGATCTGCCCCACAGGCCTATTTACCCCAGAAGATAATGCCTGAATAGAACTTCTGGATGTCTGTTAGAATATCCACCCTG